GAATTCTGATATACATCGAACTAACCAGTAGTCTATATGGTAGAAGATACCTTGCATACACATAGTGCCAAAACATGGATCAGGAGACTTGAAAATCACAGATTCCTACAATACGGTCTTCAAAACAGGACAGTTCAGAAAAGAAACTCTGCAGATATTTGAATAGGATCCGCATATATTGTTTTTGTCTTTAACATTATCGAGCAATATGTGTATTTGTCTCCTGTTATCTTCTACGTAAATCTTCCACAAGGGTTTTAAAACTCTCTGCCAGAGAGTAATACGTTCCCTCAGGTAGATGCAAATATTTTTGATTTGCACTTATCATATTAAATCAAGAAGTATTAGTCGAAGTGGATGCTGCCTTCATCTTCACATTCATGAACATAAACTGGCGGTCAAATAACATGATATCCATTACTTCATATCAGTACATGCCGGCAACTACAGACATCAATCCAACTGGGTAACTGTATAAACCTTAAACAAGTGGAAACACCAAAAATCCCAGGGAATTCCTAGAAATCTGATGCTTGTTTAAATCTTCAATCAGCAGACGCACTGACATAGATCAGACTTACCAGACAATAAAAAAGAAATCATATGAAAAAAGTTAACCTTCAGGCTAACAAAATGATCAGAGTACCAATAAAAGTCGATAGGAGGTTGAAGAAATAACGCCAGAAACAACCATTCAGGCTGAGGGTCACCGGGAAAGACGGTCAATAATCTCATGCAGAATTCCAAAAGCTCATTCCCTATTGAAACTGAGCTGAAGATGCTGTCTAAATGGGCAATGAACGCTTCGCAATGAAACCCTCGACATCAGAGAACACAATTACTTCGATATGCTTTATTATTATTATTTCCTTTAATTCTTAGAGGAGCATAGGGCTTCAGCCACGCGTCTCCATTGCGTTCGGTTTTCTGTCAACGTTTTCATCCTGCTCCAATTCTGGCCACACGCTTTCATCTCCTCTTCACATGACCTCCTCCAAGTCACCCTTGGACGACCAACTCCCCGCTTCCCTTTCGGGTTCCACTCCAGCAATGGCTTCTCTAGTGATGTCACTTGATAGTTTCCTCAGAGTATAGCCAATCCACCTCCATTTCTTCCTGCTTATTCGTTGCACAATAGGGTTCCTGCCGGGTTGGTTCGCTCTCAGAGATCCCTGTTGCTGATCTTTTCTGACCATGTGCTCTTGAGTATTGAGCGAAGACAGCTGTTAATGAAGGTCTGAAATTTGTTTGAGATGCTATTTATGACGCGCCAAGTCTCTGATCCGTATAGTAGCGCTGACTTCACACTGGAGTTGAAAATCCAGATCATATTTTTGATGCTGAGGCAAAAATCGTCCCTATCATTTCTAGATTCAGAATCATCAAGTCAGCAGTTCAAAGCTTTTAGCTTTTTCTCATTACTAGCTTCAGTATTCAATGTCTTAAGTAATTCTCATGGGCTTAACAGGATTGCTTATGTTAATTACATGGGAACCATAAATATCAGGTCCAAGTTATTAATGGTATTAGATTTTCAAGTAGAAATATTCCGATTTTATTTGCATATGATGCAGTTTTGTTTGGATTAGAGTACTTGCCTCACATGGGAAAGGCGGTAGCGAGAATAAATAAAGGCGATAACATGAGATTAAAACAAATACCTAAGCCTTTATTTTACTGTGAAACTGTCCACAGTGATAATCAATCGATAATTCCATCGCTCATCATCAGGATTAGTATCACTGGCTTCCTCTAATCACATCCATAGTCGCTTTCATCACTCGCAATACTGACAGAAATCAGTAAAGCATAAGTTGGACAGATATCAGATGACTGCCTTCACAAGTTTATGCAAATAAGTGAGAACAGAATCGCAGATCAAACACCCACCGATCACTTCGCTTCATCCTGCCTTGATGAGCAGTTTGAATTTGTAGCTTAACTTTATGACCAAAGACAGATGCACTAAAACTCTACATAAATGCAAGAATTTTAAGTTTACGCAGGATACCTGTTAATGATACTTATTCATTCTCGTACAGATTATAAGTCTGGCTAATAACAGAAAATTATTTGTAGACACAATCTAATAGACCATTGATGGAATTACATTGTGCTGCTTAAAATTTTGATGGATTCTTAGTCAGTGAAGAACGCAATCCCTGAAAGTGTAAGACCACATACTATCGACAGGATTCATTCAATATTACTGCTCTAACTGTAGAAGACAAACACTTGGTTCAGGAATGCTTATTACCAAGTTGATATCTCTATTATTATTCTCTATTGTTCCCCCTTAGTCTTTCCTGGGCTATTGAAGAAAGACTATACCTTATTACGTAGGATGTTAAAGGTTGTCAGCAAGGTAAGCAGTTTGCCACTTAGTCAGCTCGTTAATATTCTGGTGGACAGGCACATGGACTCATGTGAAAAATGGGCAAAAACCATTTTATCTGACTCACAACACCCTCTAAATTCACAACTCTCCCCATGTATCTCTTCAGGGAAAACCAGAACCCTATATAGGAAACTATATGCCCGCACGAGAAAGTACAAAGACTCATCCATACCCTACCTAGCTCGAGTTCTGTGCGATAAAGAATGCATCAGGCATGAAACCTTTAACTTATTAAATAGTCAGTAGAACCAATGGATTTCGTCTTTCCAACTCACATTATTTATAGGTACAACGTTTTCTCGCTCTTCATTCTGTATTTATTTTTGTTATGTGCTGCTTTGTTTCTCTCTTCCTTGCAAACTCTACTTAAAACATTCTTGTTCGTTCTTTCACACTCTGTATATCTCGACCATTTCGCTATAGCTTACGCCAGTAAATATGCTAGTAGTATCTACTTTTCTAACACCTTCAAACACTCTGTCTAAATTTTGGCTTTGCTACCGACATGCTAATATGTTGTTGTCAAAACTAACTGAGATAACCTTAATCTATGTAGAACTATATTTATTGTTAATGTGCTAACTGGATGCAATATTGTAGTAAAATGCTGTGAATTCCATTCTGTATCACAAGTACTGATTTGGAATAAAGCTTATCTTATCTTATCTTATACAGCCAAATGTATACCTTTACTTCAGAGCACCATTTGCACGGATCTACCATTTTGTGGTACTACTGACCTTCCTATTGTGTTCCTTTCACGTCTCACATGTATCTACGCAGCGCTGTGTCAATTGCTTTCTCTGACATCAAATCTATCCCTCTGCTATTTGTTGTTTTTTATGCCAGTGAACATCTCTTTGTATACTACTGATAAATCTCATATATAAGTAGCACAGGCCACACTATTCAAAGTTTGATAATTCTGTGATGTAAATTGTATCCAATTTATGTTGTCTAACGTTTTCTGAGCTAATCTGCTAAGCGTTGTAAACATTGCTGAATGGCATAAAGGAAGAGAAGACTTTTATTTGATGTCACAATTTCAATAATGTGTACTATTCGTTAACGAACACAATTACTGAGTAAAATACTTAGATACACACTGGAAAATTCGTTATCACTGAAACTATTAAGAGTAAATAGAGGTGAATCGTTGGTTTAACTTTCGCCAAACAGGTCCTGGCTTAGTTTGTACCATAAATCATGAGACAATAAGTGTGGTTCCTAGGTTAGCACATGCAAACCTGTACCGTCGGTTATAGTGTGCATCACATTTCACATACAAAATTTTCAACACTCAACTACACAAATGGTGCATGAATTTAGCTAAGACCGAAAACAGACTCTCTTCCGGTAGGAATACTTGTAAACTGATAAAAGACTGGAGGGCAAAGTTGACATCTTCCTAATGTGATTAGAATACCTAGTTAGCCTGAAATTTCAGACTAAGTGGTTGAAACATCTGGTTTTTATAAAAGCTGAACACTTAACCTCAGATATTATTTGGAGAAGATAGCTCAGTTAATAAGTGTACTCCAGCGAGTGATAGTATCATGCCATCTAAAGAAATAAATTCCTTATTGGCAGAAATAAATCAAGACACTTAAGACTAGTCAATCACATCTCTTGGGTTACTATCTGGAGATGACTTGGCATTCAACTGACTTATAACATAAGCAGGAACAGGAAAAACTACAAGTTTACAAATAACTACGCTTATGAAGATACCTTTTAAACTTTAGTGTTAAGTAGTAGTTGTGTATCTCGTCATGCGGTCGGTCATCAGCAGATCAACTCATCCTAACTTGTGCATATCCAATAGCGTCTTCAGCTTCCTCAGTAATATCTGACTGACCGCTCTTATATACATACATATATATGTATACAAACCTCAAAGTGATTGTTGAATTCATATCAACCAGTCGCTTCTTAAATTATGAATTAACCGGAAATTTTCTGCTCATTGAGCGACGATCTTCCTAAAGAAAGCTTTGGATGTTAGTCAAGGCATCATCTATGAAAATGGCGTATGTACCGAAAATATGCGAATGACAACTAGTATTTCACCCATTTGTCGGATATTTGTATGACTTAACGAAATCCAAAACAGAACTACCTTTAAATAACGTACTACTCGTAGACGTTCTTCAATGATTCCCTGGGAATTGAATCGTCATTTCGTAGAAGTGAGAATTCATAATTCATTGAGTTTTGTCCCACAGGCTGAATGTTCAACAATCTCACCTCATAAGCTGAAATTCTTGGGTTCGATCACCGATGAGGTGATGGAGTGTGAAATACTACAGTCCTGGATCAGCACGAAACAGAAATCCAACACTCCCTCGTTTTCAGTGGCCCCTTTAACTGATATCAATCCATGATAAAACTTAAAAACGCATATTACAAAGATACGCAGCTATAGCTAAGCTATTCTGATAACGCGCACAATATGAAAGTTATCTGCCCAGTGCCTTGTCGCAAGGCGAGCTCAACACTAATCTGCTAATGTCGTTAACTATTTTTATCACAAAAGCTTCAATTATGTCCACTATCTTTTCAAGAGAAGATATGAAAACATTGAACAAAAAGCTGTCAATCATCATTGATATTCTCTATATTTTACAATGAAATATTTTCTACAAAAGAAGGGAAAGAAAAGGTTTCAGAAAGGAGAAAAGAAATTCAGATTACAAAAATAAATAATAATAAATTAGTGGGATAGATTTGAAGTTCTATTTACACAAGAGAAGGAAACACAGACATACACACGCATGCACACACACACACCACTACCCCGAGGTTCAAAATCCATATTTAGCTCGATTTGAAGCCTTGTTACGTCTAGCTTCAGCCCAACGCTTTTCCAATTCAAGTTCGTTCTCTTGAGCCTATTACAAACAAAAGCAGAAAGACATGGAGAATAGCTTTTACAATTAAATGAAATGAATAAGTTATAACTAGCCCTTAAGTATGATGCATTTATACAAAAATTCATCACCTTCTTATTAATGACACTGATTACTGAGATGTAAGGTAAGGATGCGGGGGTTGGTTCAGTAGTAAGTCAGTCAGTAGTAGTCATTCACTAGTCTAAACTAATATATGACATTTAGAGAATTCGGTGAATAGTGACTAGCAGTGGAATCCAACAAGACGCACATTTTGACCCATATGGGACTCGTCATCTGGAAGTACCTGCATTCCCCAGTGCGTGATAACCTGCCCGCTGAGGCTCAAACCCAGCACCCACCAAAACGTTATTTACTAAGTCACGAGAACCACTTCTGATACGAGAATCAAGTGTTATTTGTTTTAATTCAACTTGGTATTTCCCGATTGACATGGAGAAGACGGAGGTGATGAAAATAAGCAACCAACCAACAACAACAACAACAACAAATAGCATCAATCAGTATGGACAGAAGAAGTTTGGTAGACGTCATTTCCTTGCACTGAGCATCACGAAAAGCATTTCCAACAGGTTGCATACTTTTATCAATAGGTGCCTTCGCTGGACCGAAGGTTCCATACTTAGGACCGAAAGGCTGCCCCGAAAGAATTAGCAACAAGAAACTCTGAGAACGAAACAATCAATAAAGCTATTGCTAGACGAACAGTGAGAGAAAAATGGAGATGCATTAGACACCCTGAAGAGTCCACTGAATGACATAGCAGACCTATAACTGGAACTCGAATAGGAAAAGGCGAGTTGGGCGTCCTAAGTTGACATGAAAGAGATCATGTGAGAAGATGAAATCCTAGACGCAATCGTGGTGTAAGCTAAGGAGAACTTCAGAGAACACAACAAAATGAAGATATGCTGTCGAAGCCCTAGGTTTTCCTCGGCACTCAAGGGAATAAATAGTGATACATCGACTGATTATATTGGCCCGAAAGAATCGGTCTCAAATGACATGTCGGCTCTTAGAAGGGACGTTACGGTGATCTATGAGGACTAACACGTCATTTCGTCCTACACATCTTAGATCCGACTTCTAGTCAATACCCACCAATTACCAACACGTTAATCCTCATACATCGTCGAATTGTCCGTACTAGTAGCTTTTATATCAACGCAGATCGAAAATTTCAGTCCATCATTACCATCAGTTAGTGGCAAATAAACAATTAAATTGAAACAAATAATTTAAAGAATGTTGGTTGCCGAATTTCAACCTATCTACTCAACAACACAAATTTTTCACTACAAGGGTGAATGAATGCATGCATAGTTTTAAAGTACAGGGGCATTCAGTGGCAACCATGAAGAACAATTACGTCACAAAAAAATGAGAACATGAATAAGAATAAGAAAAATCCAACAACAAAATATACCAGAACTTACCTGATGACATAACCAGGTGATTTGATGTTTCCGATGTGCCAACTTGCCAGGGTCCTCAGTTGTTGCTGCAGGCTTTGGCCTATACTGAGCATCATCACCGGTAACTGATTTGATTAATTCCAGCTGAGCGCCAGCAGTTAAATCTGATTGATTGATAGATATAACTTCAGTGTTTGTCGATTGAAGTAATTCATTCACAGCAATATTATTCGCCTTTGTACCAGGCATAGTAAGACGTGCACGTTTACGCTACATAAAGAGAGATCAACAATCAAATATAGATGTTTATATAACAAATGCCTTAACAATAAGCTAACTGTCATTATTAGTGCCACTCAACAACCACGTGTAATTCTCTATACAGCCAGCTATCAGTCAAACACCTATTGTGTGAGAGTTGCTTACACTGCCAGGAGTTGCCGGAATTCCCATGCGTGGAGCGGTGGTCGAACCCATGACGCACCGTTTGGAAGTCGATGAGCCATAGCTCCATTATCATTATGCGGTAAAACTTTATACAAAGGAAGTATTGCAATATATTATAATTGTATTTCAATAGTTTACATACAATGGTAAGTTTTTGCTTTTGGCAATATTTCGAGCGAAACTACAACCCATCATCATATCAAGTGTTGGAATGGTTTTGTTTTGTTAATTCACACTTTTATGATTTGTAATAATTTATATAGTTCATTTTTTGTCCATTCATTTTTGTGTATCCAGAATTAAATCCCAGGTTGTTGACAATTGCGCTAAATTACCCTTGTTACATATATCCGGCGTGATCTTATTGAACACAGATTCTCTTATAAGTCTGTCTCTCCTTCCACTTGTTCATATAAGATTTCGGAATACAAACGTTGAATCAATCAATATAGTTGATCACGGATTGATATCAGTTAGAGAACCATTGAGAAACCAGAGAGTACTGGACAGCTACTGTTTCATCCTAGTTTGGGAATCATCGTCAGTACACACCCACTGGGATTCCAACCCACGACCTTCCGGTTAAAAGCCAAACTCGTATACAATTCAGTCACTGGGACCCGATCCAATGGCTCATGAATTCTAACTTCCACCAATTCGTGATTTAGCGCGACCCCAACCATTGCCGTTGGTGGGACATCCATCCACACACGTGACATCTAATTGGACCTCACTGGTCACGACTTCTCACTAGTCACTAGCGAGTATCAGATTAATTTTCCATAGTTTGGTTCTCTAACTGATATCAATCCGTGATCAACTCGCAAAAACATAACTAACCCTTAAAAACCAAACTATAGAAAATCAATATAGTGGTTTTATCCCATGGATGTGTAGCTATAGACAAATTTTCTTCTACATTGTTGTAAGCTTGTGTTCCTGTAGGGTGACCTTTAGCTAGGCGTTTGCTTTCGTTCACTCTTATTTTGTAATTTTATTCTATTTACCTACCTAATTTGTAAGCAATTAAGTGACTCCACATATCACATGACATATATTTACAGCGGAAAATTGTCTTGTTATCCAAATTCACACAAAAAATATAATTTTCAAGTATTAGCTTGACACGACGCTCAAAATTATTTCAGGAAGTTCGTAACATCTACGGTATGAAAATTTATAATCTTAGTTTGTAGGGAATTGATTGGTTTCAAGTTTGATCATGAATTACTGTTAGTCAGACAACCATTGAAAAAATCAGCGGGGAGTAGTGGACATCTACTTCATCCAAGTTTGCGGTGGCGCTAGAAATCGTTAACTGACGGAAGTTAGAATTCACAGGCAAGCCATTGGATCACGTCACAGAGGTTGAATGGTCGTCTCACAACTTTGAAGTGCTGTGTTTCAGGTCATTGGCTGGTACTGTTGAAGAACCTCAAACCAGGACGAAAATTCCTTCCAGTACTTCCCGGTGTTCAGTGGTCCTTAAACTGCTATCAATCCGTGATCAAATTTGAAATCAATCAAAACCCTACACACTTGGAAAAACACATTAAGATAATTCTAAATCTAAATTTGTACTACTTATATGAATTACAGTAGAGACAGAAAGCATAAACAATAAAAGAATAAAACTGAGGATAGTAGAAATTTGTAGGTTTTTTCATACTTTAACACTAATTAGAGAATTATTGAAAAACTTATGGCAGTAACGAAAGGCGCTTTAACTCCTACTGAGTATAAGAACCTTCCGCAGTGTAAATTCACAACTTCACGAGAGGTGGAATTCAGGCGAATAAGATTACAAAGCGAGTGTGTAGCCATTTAGACACGGGATTGACATCAAATTACCTTTGATATCAGACCTGCTAAGTGGTAACAGAAAGTCGTCATCATCGAATATCATCCTAATAGTAACTATTCTCACATCGGACTTAAATGATCACATACTGATAAAAGCGTTAGAAAGACAGAAACTAACAAGTTGTTAATTTTGTGAAAACTTTGGTCTCAAGTGAGATTTTTTCACAAACCGACATCTGGCCAGAACTTCTAAAGTATTATGAAATATACTTGTTCAGTGTTACACTTGCCTTCAATGACTGTTAATTTGTGACTAAATTGAATTTTAAACGAATCAACTCCCTGGAAACTTAAAATTTGCGTAGTAGACACTTTTACGGGTTGATCACGGATTGATATCAGTTAGAGAACCATTGAAAACCAGGGAGTACTGGACAGCTGCTGTTTCATCCTAGTTTGGGAATCATCGGCAGTACGCACCCACTGGGATTCGAACTCGGGACCTTCCGGTTACAAGGCAAGCTCGTATACCATTCAGCCACTGGGACCCGATTCAGTGGCTCGTGAATTCTAACTTCTACTAATTCGTGATTTCAGCGCGACCCCAACCATATACGAACTCACACCGCATAGATCAATAGCTAGATTTTATGATTAAGCCCTACTTCTTCCCACCTAAATTCTTTTTCAACTATCATTACCTGTTCAGAAAGATGGTAGCTTTACTAGAGAAACACAGTTTAACCGTTTCACTTGGTGAAGATCCCCATTATCATGGATCGATTTACCTTGCTGGCTCAGTAATATACATTTAATATTAACATCACCTACTCTGGTCCTAGATATGATGAGTACGGCAACGGGAACACCTATGACTACAGATTTACAATTTTCCTACATTTTCCAACTACAATGATAATGTCTTAATGTAGTAGAGTATAACAACAGGATGGAGCGCAGTACAATACAACCAGCATTCGAGGACACGTCACATGTCTAGCTGCCGCTAGTGGTTGTACAGGTTGAAAGTTATTAAAACTTACTGTTTATATAAGGATAGAACTTTGACACTGTGGAAGAGAACAATTGTCATGGAGTAAAAAATTATTTTGATAAAGCCTCACAGTGTTATACAGTAGTATTTACTGATGACATATCAAGCACAATTATTGTTCACAAACATATAATTGTTCACGTAGTCTGATATGTAGTTAGTGGGTGAACAGACCAACTACAATTGCAGTCTCTTCATATGAAGATGACTACCGACCGAAACCTAGTCGAACAGAACACTATTTTCCTTTTAACTAGCATTGCCCACAGGGATCAGGAACCAAGTCTCCTAAAACTTGAGGTGAATGTAAACAGTCCGTCCAAAGCTCCAATTCGAAGTTCACTGTATGACTTCAAGAGATTTAACCATGTAGTAAGTCTTCACTTGCCCTACCAAAAAAATCTTGCTAATGCAGGACATTAGTCAAGCATCAGAAGCACATAGGCTGAATAAAGACAATAGTGATCATTCTGTGTGGTTTAGACGTGAGATATTCATCGAAGAACAATCCAAGAAAGACAAGAAAAATTACGGAATCTTTCATGCTAAACACAGTTTCTCAGTGAGAACTATTCACATCCAGAAAGTGAAGTTAAACCGCACTGTTATTAGACATTTCAAAAAAATATATCAGAATAATTAAAGAAGAAAAATATAACTAAAAAACATCGCATAGAAAGATACCTCGGGACCTGGAATGAAATTCTCCTCCGACCAAAACACTTTTTCATCAGGCTCCTCATCTTCATCAGAGGTATTTTTCTGAGTAGAAGACATTTGACGCAAAATATCTGTATCACTAATAGTAACTTTAGGCAAGCAGTCTTCCCATGATTTTGGAGTATGCTTCTCTCCAAGAAAGATTTCATGAGATAATTCAGCTGTTATAGATGAATTATTACTACAACTATGATCATTTTCAACATTCTTTGCAGGAGTTTTACCACTAGGTAATTCGGCTTTTCTTCGACCTGTTCTTAATGCTGATATGGCTGCTGCTCGTTCTGAAGCAACAGCTTCGCGATTTTCAGGTGTAGGTGTATAAAATGAAAAGAAGCTTGGTTCTTTGGTGTCTTCGTTTAGCTCTGAAAATTCTGTATCAGAGTCATGTTGTTTATCTAAGGCATCCGAATCCCAGATTTCATCATTATCAGCATTAGGAAGAGTTGAATATGATTTCTTTTCATCATTTTGGCCTTTACTTTTAACAGTAGATGCTTCTTTATTAGTTTGATTTGTAATTTTTCTAGACATGATTAATTGATGTGGTATCATTGGCTTGTTTCCTTCGCGAATAATCAGTGCACGTGTAGGTGGAAGAATTGAGAGGAGGTTAACTTTGTCTTTTTCAGATTTGAAATTTCTGCGCAACTAGAGGTTGAATAAAAATATACATAAGCAGAGAAAACAATATGGATTACAAAAACAATGATTTCCAATATCTATCAACACTAAGTATAATGAACATTTTGAACGAACCAATTAAGAAACAAGTTTATTAGATGGTTAGAGGAGATGGGGATGAAGCTTAGGACCTAGGTTACATACTTGTTGGCACTCGTCATCAAGGCGTATCTGCAATCACTTGAAGGAACTTCTGTCTTTTCATAGATTAGAACCCATGTCATTCAGCGCTGCAATCAGAGACGTCACCATTGAACTATTCAGGCTCACGACTGACCTCATGTAGGACTATACTGGATACTCTAATTGGACACTAGGTAGTAACTAGTGTAATGTGTTCAGTCTTTTGTTTAGTGCAGGCTGAATTCTAATTTGCAATGGTGGCCACCATGTTAGATGGTTTGCCGTCACAATGAACTCTGAATTAGATGATTGGAACCAATCGATAGGAAGCCATGGACTTAGGTTTCATGCTTGTTAACACTTGCCAGTCAGCTAGGTGACAATATTGCAAGCTTGACTGATAGAATTCAGTCAGCACCAAAGAGAAAGCTAGACGCACAACACCAGTTATTACCTAGTGTTCAATCAAAGAAACTAGTTTATCACAAAAGAATGTTAAGCTCAAATGTCACTTGTGATTCATGATATTGTGTCTTCCAAAGCTATTTTAACCGTAAAATGTTCAAAATGTTGTAGAAACAATTAAGTAAGAAAACCGGAAAAAGTAATTAATGAAGTATTGATAAACTTGGAAATTCGCACCTTAAATTAGCTATAGAACCTCTTTATTGGAAGCAGCTAGTGAACTTAGGTTCAAGTGTCCCTCTTCACTTACTTTAGTCTTAAGAAACGTGTTGTATTATAAGCTCTCACATCAGGTCGAACAAATTTGTACTGGATCGCTGAGTTGCATTATTATTACTATTATTATTATTGTAATTATTATTACTGTTTATCATAAGATCCTGTCTTTACACGACCATTAACATACTTTGATGAATATCACTAGCAGGGGTATAAGTTCAGTGAAGCTAAAGGCCTTACCAACTAACTTCTTATATTCAGCTGAAAAGCAACGCATAGAAACGCATTATGCTTCTGCACACAGTTCACAGAAACCTTAAGACTTAGTTCTATGGCTTAACTAAGCCGTCCATAACTACCTCCGACTTTATTTCACTTTCGTTTCTACTTTGTGGTAAAAACAAAAACCTACGGATTGTTCTTTGGATACCACAACATTACCATACAACATCACGATTTGCTAACATTTTTTTCGTTTTAAAAAGACTAAATCCAGTACGTTGAGATCCACAGGAAAAGCAAAATACTTATGACGACTATACCGATATTTCCACTGAATCAATAAACATAGAAACGATTTAGCATACATCGCTAACTTTCGTCTGTAAAACTTACGGCAAAAAGTAACTGAAAATGACACATCAACACTGTATCCAGCACTTCATGATTACACCCCGTAAATGACCTGCTATGGCCAATAGTCGACAGACTGAGGGTTAACTCTCGAAATGCTTTCGTGTGACCAGGTAAGTACAGTCCACTGCCCTCACATGCCAGGGTTACTAAATATAATAATAACTGCTTCATTACAAAGAACAAGACATATAAGCGAAAAATATTGTTTCCAATTACATCTTCTTCAGGCTTTACTCTAATTTACATAGATTTATGTATAAAAATTTTAACCAATGACGGCGACTTTTGTGGATCAAATAATAATAATAATGTGGTAAATGTTTTGAACTAAATTAATAACGAGGATTACAATGATAAAAAATATCGATAATAAGGTTTATGCAGGTGATAAGAGTAATAAAGGTAGTATATGTATATATGTGTATATGTAGGCAATTGAATAAATAAATAAATTAGGTCAAATCTTAAAAGGTGAAGTGGACATATAATCACAGAGTTTAAATAAATATCATGAAAGTACGAAGGAGATGGAAGATAAGAAAGGGTGGGAGGGTATTGAATAGAATTCACCTAGGCCAAGGGAGAGACAAAGGTAGAACAAACTTCTTTTGTATACAAAGACTAGGATTGTTCTGTCGAATTAATTCCCATAGCTTCGGCTAAGTGTAAAAGACGGGTTCTGATTCCGTTCGAAAGACTTGATGAACAGTTGTTTCTTTTTAACTGTTGTCAGTTTTTCTTCATTGTACCTGGTATTCATGTGTCTCCTTACAAATATACTAGGATAACGCATTTGGACCAACGTATTTTGGATGTATCCTAGCTCATTTTCTAGGGAGTCATCTGTACAGATATGTCTGGATCTATTCGTGAGGCATCTGAGATTATCGAGAGCGATAAAACGGACTTATACTGCCGCCATCCTTTGTTTGTCATTTTCCAGCCGACCAATCATGATTGCTCAAGAGAAAGATAAGCTACCTAACTGTGCCACTTCCATGCGTATCTATAAATTTAGTTGCTCCTGTTGAGAAAGCTATACAGGCCGAACAAATAGATAGCTTAACAAACGCATTAATGAGCATCTTCCTTCATGGTTCAGAAAAGGTCAAATACAATCCATACGAAGTTCTACCTTGGCTCATTTGATTGATAATGGTCACCAAGTGGACAAAAATAGTGCCTTCAAAGTTATCTATCGCATTCCATCGAGTCTTTCGAACGGAATCAGAACCCGTCTTTTACACTTAGCCGAAGCTATGGGAATTAATTCGACAGAACAATCCTAGTCTTTGTATACAAAAGAAGTTTGTTCTACCTTTGTCTCTCCCTTGGCCTAGGTGAATTCTATTCAATACCCTCCCACCCTTTCTTATCTTCCATCTCCTTCGTACTTTCATGATATTTATTTAAACTCTGTGATTATATGTCCACTTCACCTTTTAAGATTTGACCTAATTTATTTATTTATTCAATTGCCTACATATACACATATATACATATACTACCTTTATTACTCTTATCACCTGCATAAACCTTATTATCGATATTTTTTATCATTGTAATCCTCGTTATTAATTTAGTTCAAAACATTTACCACATTATTATTATTATTTGATCCACAAAAGTCGCCGTCATTGGTTAAAATTTTTATACATAAATCTATCAGTTAGAGAACCATTGAAAACCAGGGAGTACTGGACAGCTGCTGTTTCATCCTAGTTTGGGAATCATCGGCAGCACGCACCCACTGGGATTCGAAGCCAGGACCTTCCGGTTACAAGGCAAGCTCGTATACCATTCAGCCAATGGGACCCGATTCAATGGCTCGTGAATTCTAACTTCTACCAATTCGTGATTTAGCGCGACCCCAACCATTGTTGTATTGTTCAATATGAATATGAATATAAAATTAGAATAAATGAAATTAGTAAGACCAACATAATAATGAAAAAAGTAAGAAGAGCGCCGTTTACTTATTCTTTTACAGTTATAATTGATAGTGTCCTGCCTTACACTTTTCTCATCACATAAAATGTATGCCAAATACCGTACAGTCGAGTTTTCATATTTAATCGTCCCAGCATTCAGTCTTCTATAACTGCTTCTAGTTCTACCAGATGAGATGCAAGGAGACCTTAGTATAGTGAGGATGCTTAGGGTCTGATAAGATAATATTTGCCAATTTCTTGTAGGAGTTCATGTGCCTATGTACAACTGTAGTAACGCGTTATTTTGGTGACACCCCAATCACCCTACTAACAACTTTTATTGCCCTTCGCAGAGTTACAAAATCATTCTTAAGCAAGCCAGGAAATACTAAGGAGCAGCAATAGAGAAGAATAGGTAGAATACAAGAATTAACAAATTGTAAAAGTAAAGACTGAGTGATGCCACACTGTCTTAACTTCCTAATGTAGAACATAAGATGGAATATCTTTCTAGACACTAACATGTGTAAAGACCAGGAAAAATCAGAAGCAAAGCATAGTCCAAGGTATTTAACATTTGATTTACTTTCAACTTCTGTGCCATCTATGATATCCGAACCACACGAACTAGCCAGTTCATGTAAGTCACGCTTGCATCTGAAAGTGAAATTAACAACCTGACGTTTGGAGGGATTAAGCTTAAAACCACTGACTAATTTCCAATAAAAAGTTAATCATTTTGGAGCAAACTGACTGGGAAGTAACCTCCGCCATAGAAACAATCAGACTATCAGCATACTTAACGCAATTGGCAACGTCAGAGTGAGGCAAGTCATGCAGGATGAAAGAAAACAGAAAAGAAAGGACAGAACCCAGAGGAACATCACGTATAGCAAGTGGAGCAGTGGAGGGTTTTCCATTGTAAACAATGTATTGCTTCCTAACAGAAAAGTAAGAATGCAACCACTTATTAGTCCAGCACTCTGCTTGCATCGCAGCAGGCTTATTTAACAAGAGAGGCCTGGATATAGAGTCAAAGGTAGATGTTTCCCACACTGGTGAAAGGGCGAATTCAAAATTCTGGCGCTTACAATCGGATTGGTGGATATGCAGGTTTACCTGACTGAGGGGGCTGGAAAAGTGATTCCAAACCTATGGTGTACGTCGGATCCAAAATCTGAAAGGATGGAATGGCGTATGAACCTGTTTTGATCACTGGCAACTATAGGAATACAGCTCCTGACACTGCTCCACTGTCTTACGGATTAGGCCTCAAGTCATAATCAAAGACAAACGTGTGCTTTAATCTGGGCGCCCGGGAAGTATCCCAGGCATCTCTTAGTGCTGATAACGTGATTTAATAAATAAAACCATAATTACACTTCAGTCTTGTTTCGAACACCATACCTTATGATATGGGTTGGTGATCATAGTATAGAGACAGAGGAAAAAAGTGGACATATATTGCCAACTGAATGCCGACCAAGTGGCTGAACATTACTGTACTTGTCATAATAGCTGGAAATTCCTACTCTAAACGTGATCTCAGATTATATGATAAAAACTTCTCGAACACACCAGTTGATTCTTCATACACTACTTAACTGAACAACCTTTTAAAGTGAGATGTATTTTATAAAGTTTTTGAGGACGTCATTATTATTGGTGTATTCAATCACTTCTTATCTTTCGTAAACATGGTTAAATCTGCAATTTGGACTTTCCTTTTGATTTATAAGGTCGAAGTGTCCGGCTTCAGGTTGACATTTTGGCTCCTTGTGCAGATGCTTCGATAGTGTCTGATTATTTAACTTGAAATAAATAATTAGTAACACGCGTTGCACAAGAGGTGGCTCTCGTGAACCCAATTGTCTAGTGGATAAGTCTTTGACGTCTGGAACTATAGGTGCCAGGTCCGAGCTCCAATGGGAACCCCATGACTCACTCACTCACTGGGAAGTGTAGATATATCCAGTTGACGAGTCCCGAATAGGAAGAAATGCACATCCTGGATTCCACTCTCTCTTAGTCACTATCAACCAATTTACTTCGGTTAAATGTGCCTTAGAGTTTCAGATTGAGAAAATATTCACTGCCCTGCATTAAGTGTCGGTGGCACAATGGTTAGGACGCTCGCTGACCATGCACATGGTCCGGGGTTCGATCCCCGGCCTTGGACGCACTCCTTTACCTCGCCAAACCAGTAATAAGACTGGTAAAGAGGGAACGTTGGGCATGAGGCTAGCAACCCCATCCCGTGAAAACAAATAAACGCCACTGCTACAGGAACTTCAAAGCTCTAGCTTGAAGCCCTATGTTCCATTGGGAACGTGAAGGAAAAAAAAAGCAATCACAAATTATAGGCGCACACTACAGTCAACTGATATGAAAGACACTTCTTTCACTTGTAGCACCTGAGCATGTGCAAAATAGAATAAGCATAAGCCATGTACAGAAACGAATGCTATTAGGTAGACTGGTAAAACTCCAAAACAACCTAACTGACTGGCTGACTGGTTTTAACGTAGAACTTTGGTCAGATGTCCAACAGTTCGAGTTGCCACATCCCCTCCATGCAGCACATAACGCAAGAGAAGACGGTAAGAAAAGATTCAAAATAGAGATAACAAACATAAATGTGAGGCAAAAAGAATAGTAATATGGAAGAACAGTAGAATTTTATTGGATATTATAAATCACAACGAGTGGATGCATCTACGCCACTGAGTGATTTTGAACCATATCACCGATTGTCTCAAGCCATTGGTTTTTACCATCCCGAGGACCCCAAGCAAGAAGTCTACACCTCCCGACGTGGCTGGTTTAAACTAACTGTTATGGATTTCATTGACTGATTCCAAGTTTTAGTTTGATTATCACTAGCTCTTTTACAACCTGACCCTAAGTCAGCTAACATTGACCATTGTCGAGGAAGGCGATGGCTAGGCATGCGTAACACGTGTCCTAACCATCTCAATCGGTGTAACTTCACAACCTCGTCGGCTGATTTCCCCTCCCACTTACCTAGCATTCGACCGAAGCCTAACCTCAATATTGCTCACCTTATTATACCACTTAAAACGCAGACATCTATGATCAAAGATAGTCTTTTCACATTTGCTACTTTCAATGGCTATGTCCCACAGCTATAGAGGAGGACAGAGAGAGCTGCTGAGCAGTACACACGCCCTTTGGTCGACAGCCAGATATCATGTCTACGTCAGAAATGGAGTAAGTTGGTATATGCCGAACGCCCCTTCTGTATCCGTGATGAGGTTTCTTCAGCTATCAACTCGCTAGGGCTCATGCACCTTCCTAAATAAGTGAAGTGGTCAACACGCCTCACCACTTTACTCCCTATCTTTACACTAAGAGTCGATGTAGTCCAGTCCTGTAGCAAAATCTTACATTTAACGGGAGCCAGTCACATGCCAGGCATTCGAAGATTGCTGCTCAAGGTGTTCAGAAGACTCTGTTCTATTTTGTCAGTGTCTTCACTTAAAATGACTATATCATATGTATATTCTAAGTCAACGAGATTATTCGCTGGTAACAAGTCAATCCCTGAGTCGCTCAAGTCAGCTAGGGTTAGGCTCATTAGTACAGCTATGCTGAAATTAAACCGAAATGGGGACAGTGGACATCCCTGACGGACACCACTGGTTGTCACCACTTCAGATGACTACTCCCGTAAGCCCTCACCTGTCTGCATGAGTTCTAGAATAACGCATTGATCAGTGCGATTTATTTTCTCGGTATTCCCTTCAAAGCCAAACACCGTCATAGTACCTCTCGGTCGACTGCCGCCTTTAGGTGAAGAAATATAACGATTGTTGGACGCGGGTAAGCATGCCTATATTCCAAAATCTGTCGAAGGGTGGAGATATGATCAATACAACCTCTTCCTGGTCTAAAACCTGCCTGGTTCTCTCTTGATTGTGCCAACCGTGCACTGTTTAGTCTACGCATAATTATTGAGTCTAGAACTTTATGTACCATATTAGTCAAGCTGATCTCCCTGTGAATATCGCATGAAGACGTGTCGTTTCTCGTATATGAGGATAATCAATGACTTACACCAACCCGACGAGACTTCCTCTGATTCCCAGACACTGCGTAGTACCTTAGTTAACGCAGGCAGTAGACCGCATCTGCCATCACTAATTACCTCTGGAGTCATTCCATCAGGTGCCGTAGCTTCGCCTCGTTTCAGACTAGTGACAGCTTTTGTAACCCCAATTAGGGATGGAGGACCTTGGTTATATCCCATTAAGGGAGGTGTGGAATGCTGGGTAAGTCGACAGTGGCTGGAGGCCAATTAAATTGCTCCTCAAAGCGATTTTTCCGAAGTTCCAGTCGCCTACCCTGAGAGCTGATTATGGTGCCATTTTTCTCGAAGATTCTGTCACTTGTTATTTGCCTTTTGCAGTCAGTTTCTCTAACAAGTCTATATAGTTCTCTGGTGTTACCTATCATTTATGCCTTCTACATCTCTTTCGATTTCGCTGCCCACCACTGTTCAAGGTCGATGCGAAGACTTCTTGCCAGTTTCGGTTTGAGTAGCTTTCGCTTCTCATCATATTCGGAGCTCGCCGGAATCAGTCTTCTTGCCTTAATCAGTTCAGATGAGGTAGAAGAAATCCAGTGGCGCTCATTAACTTTTGGTTTTATGTTATTAGCGGTCTTCGCAACTACCCACAGCTAACTGTATATTATGCCAGGTTTCTTCAGGAGGAGTCTAGCTATAGACCAGATGCTCGTTTCGTTATATACTTCTCAGTGTGGCATAACTTCCCCACTTGGACATTAAGGTCACATGCTAACACAACTATATCTGGGCGTTTTACTTTTTGCAGCAAACTCGACAGTTTCGAGTAGGAAACATCTTAACACATGATGAATCGACCATTAATCACTGACTAGTTTTGTAATACTGATACTAAGCACAACAGAGTACTACCAAAACCCCAAGAACCTCATCTACATAACTAACGTAGCATTCCAACCCTTCAATGAGCTATTTACACTCTGAATATTCTAGTTATATTACTCAACATCCTCTTGCATTTCCACGCACTTGGCAATCAGCCACACCTATTTGCTGACAGCTGATGACACTACCTCGCTTCCCAAACTTCGGTAGTTGGAGTAGTGCTCAAACCCATGACACAGTGATTAGAAGTCAAGCACTTAGACCAGCGAGCTACGACTGGAGATTTTAGGATTTAACTCTCATTTCAGCACCAAGCGATACAAGCAGTATTTTTATGCTTACCAATAAAATATGGGAAATCACGCTATTTCAAGCGAAGTCAGTGAAGCTTTTACAAAGAAACAGAGCTATAAACTAGCTATATGAAAATATGACTACTGTATATATATGGCTTGAAATGTATTTGAAAATGTTAACTGAATACACTGTTCTTTTGAATAATTCTTGATCACAATTGGACTCCCATTGGCAAGTCGTTTTTAAATGTATTTAAACGCCAAATATTTGAGAAAAGATTACTGGTAACTAACAAAAACCAAGTACCTCCACAATGAAAATGAAACATGCCTCTGAGGTGTTTAGTTCACCATGCACGTGATTTGTTCGGATAAAATATTCAATGAAAAACTCAGCAACCTGGTCGGAGAATTTTTTTCGTGAACATGGGTAGTGTGTAAAACGTGGATAAGACCCCGTTCAAAGTTGGGTAAAGTGGGAAACAGTACGGTATTGTTGTAAATGACACAGGTAACATGAAGTGGGCAACTTTCTGTAATAACATGGGAGAAATGGGAAGCAGGTAGTGAATTTTCGGAAACAATGGAGAAAAAGGGGGTGAATATGCAGGACGTGGGCGTTTCATATTGCGCTTCACTTAACTCTTATACACATCTCAACAGGTTAAAGCGTCCCATTCTACCGACGCTTTCCCTACACTACCTATGTACATTTTCCGACTGGGCAATATTCGAGACCTACTAATCTAGTGGAATTTTGAACTTATATATGGGCTTGGCAAGCGCAAAGTTTGGGGTGTCTAAAGTCCAGAAAAAATCAGCGCTCCTAAGACTGTAATTCCCTGATGTCTGGAAAGAACCTTAGAAATGACTTAATTCAGCTAAGTTGAGCTGTTTATTCACCAGCCAGCTAATACTTAGTCTATTAAATACAGAAATAACTAATTTCACCTCTTTCGTGTGTATTTACACGTGCACTTCATCTGTAGAATTTGCTACATCGGGCGTACGACTAAGCAAGTTCACCATCGAATTTCTGAATAACAACCATCTTCATTAGGCAAATGACCGAAAAGTAATACGCAGCTCATCTCGTCGATAGAGCACATCAAGTTGATATTAACACAGTTTTTCGTTATTTATCGTATTCTACACAACCTTCCACGTAGCCTACGAGCATCACCCTCAATTAAAACAGTGACAACACAAATTCACTGGAGCTAATCCCAATCCAATATCCTGATTACGAGCTAGTATAAACCAGTGATTTCTTTCAGCTCGCTTCTTGATTGTGAGGTAGAGGTTCCAGATATTCGGTGAGCTTCTGCGTAGTAAGTCCCGCCACTCGACTGCTTTAGCTCTGGTAGACTCCAAGAGGAGTGGTGCGGGGATTGGTCGAGATGTGGTTTGTAGTATGCGGTATGTTAGGACTGTGTTGCTGCCGTGGTTTGTATATACCCTGTGGACCTCTCATTATTTTTATATGAAATCGTTAAGTACTGACTAATTTATATGAGTTTTCAGTGAGACACCACCACTGAAGACTACTAAAGTCATACACCCGTCTATTCGCCTCAATCGTCATTCTTTAACTTCACCAGGGGCATTAGCTTGCAAAGTAAAACAATAATAATCGTAATCTATGCTAGCATACTTAAAAAGATAGACGTCTGGTCACCAAAACCAAAATACATATACCAATCAAACAAACCTTATTAGTTTTAACTGACTGACCATCCTCTTCACTGTCATCCGAAGAATCCAGCTAAATTGTCACATATATGCATTTCGTAGATATATACTTACTGCTTCCAAATCCGGGACAGACAAGAATATTTTACCTTCCTTTGTTTTAACGATAGGGATATTAGGAACGAGGTTGGGTATTTTGGCACTTTTAGGGACTCGCATTTTAAATTCAGGCTCTACTCGATCTTTAGATGCATTGCTTTCAGTTACTTTGCTGCCATCACCATCTTCGATGGACTTTTCACCGTCATCTGTTAGTCCACTACATTATTCACATAATATTCTTACCGCTTGAGTCTTCACCAGAACTCCCATAGTTAACCAAGGCCATTCTAAGTGTTACGCAAATATCAAAGCCTGCGCCATTCAATATCCAATATCCCGATTACGAGCTAGTATAAACCAGTGATTTCTTTCAGCTCGCTTCTTGATTGTGAGGTAGAGGTTCCAGATATTCGGTGAGCTTCTGCGTAGTAAGTCCCGCCACTCGACTGCTTTAGCTCTGGTAGACTCCAAGAGGAGTGGTGCGGGGATTGGTCGAGATGTGGTTTGTAGTATGCAGTATGTTAGGACTGTATTGCTGCCGTGAATGGAGTTTGACCTAACTCCCGTTGGTCATTCGGTGTAGTCATAAAAGCAGAATAGTAATAATAATAATAATAATAATAATAATAATGTTAATAGGTTGTAGTGTAGATAATATAGGTTGAGGTAAGTGGAATAATAAAGGTGACCTAAGGAAAAGATAGAGTGAGAGAAGGCAGAATAGGTCGTGGGGATTTAGTTTGTACGCTTATTCATTGACAGTGTGGTTTCAAATTTTATGAGGATAAGCCATTGAGACACAAACCTTGCATTTCTGCATGATTGTCTAGCTTCCGCTTAAAAATCTCCAGAGAAGGCGCTGTAGTCACGGCCGCCGGTAAAGCGTTCCAGAGACGGCAAACACGAAGTGAAAAGAAATGTGATCGCACTCGAGTCTTTGGTCTCTTGTGTGCTATCCTTAGCGCGTTACCTCGTGGAAGCCTATAGTCACTTAATGGCAGGATGCTTTTATTTGGGTGGGCCTGGCCATTTAGGATTTGGTAGACGGTGATGAGGTCTCCCCTGTGCCTTCGTTAACTAAGTGTGAAAAGTCCTAATTTCTTTAGTCTTTCCCCATATGATTTGTTGCGGAGGCCGATCACTCATTTTGTCGCTCGTCTCTGGACACTTTCTAGAATGTTAGCATCCCTTTTGAGTAGCGGAGGTGCAATGATATTATGCACCTCAAGGTGTGGCCTCACATATGCCTTGTATAGCCTTAAGAAGAGTTCGGGAGTGAGAGCTCCCAGCTGCCTATGCATAAAGTGTAATGTTGCGTAGGCTTTGGCGACGTCCCTCGAGTAGTTTCTACTGGTGTCCAGCTTTTCTGTTAAAATAAGACCTAGGTCTCGCTCTGATTGAACACAACTCAAATTCTGGCCACCAAGGGTGTAATCTACACTCTGTGACCTGCCCGAATGGAGTTGCACTACTTTGCACTTCTTTAGGTTGAAAGGCATTCCGTTAGCTAGGCATTAGAGGTTTCCACTATCCAATATTGTCTTTACGAGCCAGTTTAAACCAGTTTGTTTTCTTTGTGCTCTCCTCTTGATTGTGTGGCAAAGGTACGGAACATTCAATGGGAAACTTAGTTGTATCAGCTTCTACAGACCTATTGATTTCCTGGTGGTGTTGTCTGAGTCCTATCAGCGTTAAGTTGTTCACCCATTGTATGTGGGGTATGTTCTTCCGGCTCTGTAGAATGAAGTTTTGACTCACGCTTGTTATTAGTAGGCGTTTTAACTCCAGCAATGACAGTGGGTTGGAATTCGTGCGATATGACCCTAATCATCGAACGTATGGTGTAGCCATGGGTATTATCCTAACCCCGGCACATGAAACTGATCGAAAGTTTCATTTCCTCTGTATTGCGATACAACGCTTGAAAGACAGAAGTCTGCTAAAGATCCATTCATGGAAAATCCATGTGGAATGGACTGGACTTAAATTTCGGCGATTGTATTTACAATCAGCTATAAAATGAACATGAGCCAGAAGGATATGCTTCACATAAATGATTACGTTTTGCTCTCAGACTTCTCTATTCTAGGTGTGGGATGCAATATGCTGGCAAACTTTCTCATGGCTTGCTTGACACTGTTTATCACCAGTTTCAGAATATCATCAAACTTTGGCTCACTACCTTCATCCTCTATACGAGAGCTTATCTTCGCCCATTTCCCTTGCAGTCGAGTAGGCAGGCGTCTCGCTACTACCTCTGGGACGGAACTTGAGTTCAGATCGCTCATGCAATTCATCGAAATCAATGTATTCTTGTAAGTCATCAGATTATCCAGAGACTCAGAGAGTGCCTTGGAGTCATCTTGTAATTGACCACCATTACCCTTAAGAGTCTCGAATACATTCCTTACAATCATCGAAGGTCTTCCGAATCTCTGACACAGTTTACTCATAGCCTCAGAGTATCCTTCGTTAGAGGGCTTGAACTTACAGCACTGTATAGCTCTTGAAGCAACTCCAGTGCAGTACCTCAACAAATATATCAACTTCATTTCATCATTTAATAAAAAACTACTCAGCATGATTTCAAATTCTATGATAAACTGTGGATAGTCGGTTGGGTTTCCACCAAAGTACCGAGGCTCGAATTTAGGCAACTTTAAACCTTTAGTATCCCTGAATGGCGAACCATGAACAACAGACTCATGATGCTGAGCATCATACATATCATTACAATTAACAAGCAACTCGTCATTACTTACTTTTCTGTCCGCTTCTAAGACTCTTTGACCCTTCTCTGACCCAGGCATAACTGTCAAATATCGCGGTACGTTCAACGTTTGCGTTACATTTTTACGTGATTCGTTACATAAAATTTATCTTGTTGTAGTACTTGCACAAGTACTATACCACTTCCATACTTGTAACCACTAACTCTCATTTCTAATAGTTATGGTTAATCAAAGTAAAAAGCAACGAACCCAATCCCCTGTAAAACTGGTGTCTAATTTAACGTCCTTGATTGCTACATCAAGCAACACACCCCCAACAAACGGCTATAGTGAGTCACATAACTCACGTGTATGCCGTAAGCGTCGAGCTGAAACTGAGGATAAAACTGTACTGACAGCCAGTATTAGCACTACTCCTAAAAATTCGGTACCCTCTGCTCATACAGAACTCCTCCCTTCACCTTATGTGCTTATGGAGAAACTCCAGCCATCAAGCTCTTTTTCAGTACTATCTTCAGAAATAGAACTTCTAAAGTTGTCTATAGGAGAACTTAAGGCTGAGTTAAGGGAAATAAAAAACAGTAAGTCAGTAAATGCTGGAAACATCGAAACCAATACCGAGATATCCAAATTATCAGATCAGATCAGCGATATCAGATCGCAGGTCTGTGAACTGACACCTCTAACTATCCTCATGAAAACGGTAAACCTTAACAAGCTTGACACAGAATCGGTAACTAAGGTAGATAACCTCATTAACTTTGTTACCACAGAAGTAACAAAACGACTCGACGCAAAACTGAGTGCTATTGTCTACAACGTTCCGGACAATGAGGCACTAAAAAAGGTACAGCGCATCTTACTTAGTGAAGCGAAAATGCCTAACTCCAAGACTAAGTGCTACAGGCTGAAGAAGAGTCAACATGAAAAGTGTTGTCCTATTCGTTTTCAGTTCGAAACACCGGCAGAGACCAGAAAATTCATTCACTCCCAACACACCCTATCGCAAGCCAGAAACTACAAACATATAAAGGTCGGGGTGGACAAAACAGTTATAGAAAGGCGCGCATACAACTATCTCACTAAGACTAATTGTGAAATAGGTAATAGGACATTGCAAGCAGCCATTATTCCCAACCCTGTGAAAGATACAGTAGACCCCACCGCATCACCCCTCTCAAAACACACAGAAATATCCCATCAGAGTGCAACACCAGCCGAAAGGCCACTAGACTGTAACCAAATAAATAATAAAACCATACCACCCATCACCGCAGAATCTAAAATGCCACTAAATAACCCCAGAAAAAAAGTTAAAACCCCCCGAAATTCGACTTTGTCCTCTCCTAGCTATAATTCCATTGGTAAAGATAAGGAAAATATGCCCCTAAATCATACCAACAAAAACAGTGGCAGCTTAAATAAGCCCACACTCCCCACGGTTAATAGTATTAGCACTCACAACGTGCTAAATCGCACCGTGGCACACACTAATATCCAATGTCACAACGATGTCACCCTAAATAGTACAAGTGGTAATAGTCAGAACTCGGCTACCAACAACTCAGGGTCTTCAGAGTATGGCACACAAACAAATTTCGACCGGATATATGGTACAAGTCTGCTGGGAACTAACCCAAAATGCAGTACACACGAAACCCACACAAGGACACAACTAGCATCAAACAATAGGTGGAATAATAAGCCATGGTCATCACAAGGATCCAATCATTTTTTATCCCCCGCGTCCCTGTCAGCGTTGAAAAAACAGCTGGTAGGGATGTTAACACTCCTAAACCACTAGTGCTGGCTCCCTCCTTGCATGAAAACAGGAACGGTCTAGTGCACCCGTATCCATTGGACACACTTGACACTTGCACAAGTATAGGCCAAATAAAGAACCCTACCCACTTCTGTAACCTAACTAAAAATAAAAGTTCCTTAGTCTATAGCAAATCCAGTACTCCAACTCCTAATTCTCCACCGAAAACAGCACACAACAACTCGATAGACATAGGTGAGCATGATGCTGGAACTCCTCTTAACATAGGATCGTCATGTCCAGCAGAACTACTGGGTGCTGAACCATATTCGGGGCTGACTAACGAACTTAAATACTTCAAATGCTACTTCAACTCTCATCTTTACGTAATCCTCATAAATGCTAGATCTGTTCTAAATAAATTGCCGATGCTCAGAGCACTCACAGTAATATACAAACCCCCTGTAATTGTCATCACTGAATCTTGGTGTCATTCGGACATCCTGGATGAAGAAATAAGCTTAGATAACTACACACACTTTCGGTGTGACAGGGAAGGTGGTAAGGGAGGGGGTTGTCTCATGTACTTTCTGAATGCACTTACTGTATCACAGCTAGAAAGTAGTACACTTAACATGCCTGAGACTCTATGGGTTAATGTACACTTAAATAACGTAACAGCATTAATTGGATGCTCCTACAGAGCACCTGGCACCTTTAGTAATTACGAGACCCAACTTATTAATACTCTGGAGCAATTAACCGACTTACAATACGATCATAAGATCCTATGTGGGGACTTTAACTTACCTG